AAAATTCCCCCCCCCCCCCCCCCCCCCCGCCATTGAGAGTGTGATATATAGTCCCTGTTTGATCCCCATTTTTGGGATAAAATGCACTATAGAATAATGATTTTTTTGGAGAATGTGTGGTTAAAAAGTAAGAATTTTTTTTTGAAATACATGTATAATTATTTTATAAAAAAAATGTGTGATTTAGAATGATATTTAAAAAAAAAATGTATTCTTGAAAAAATGAAACTCATAGAGGGGCATTAAAAAATGTCAACTTCAATTGTAATCACTAAACAATCAACAAAATTTCAATTGGATAACTAAATTTTAATTTAATTTCAAATTGCTCCTGGGCTTTTAACAAATCTCACCACTCCATCATACGAAGTCTTCCAAGTTGACGAAAGATTTCTTCGTTGACAACTACACCAAAGTAGATCTTCCACATAACCACTATTCAACATGGTAATTTACCATTACAACACGTCAGAAAAGTGCTAATAATATATATAACACGTATTTTAACTTCTTAATTTACTAACATCATTATAACTCTAGTTTTACTATTTTCATTTTTCGAATTCTCAATTATGTGAAACATCAGTAATTGTAAGACTATCCACTAAGCGAAATATGTGCGCTCGAGAGACCATAGATGATAGATGATAGAATGCAACAAAGATATGAAACTTGAAACTATATTGACCCAATTTAGACAAATTAGAGTTTAGTGATTCAATTGAAATTTGACTTTTAAGTACAGGGCAAAAGAATATGGATCAACGAATTGTTGTTCTAACTTACAAGTTTGCACTAGTCCGTACTAATAAATTCCATGAGAATGAATATATATAGTAGCGAACGAGGCCTCAAAAAGTGTCAACTTAGTCGATCTACATATTACTATTAGTCTACCAGATGATCTTGTACTATATGACAATATTCCTATAATTTTGGAAAGGAGCGTCAAGTAGTGGGCTTCTAAGGCCACCAAACCAAGAAACACCCCCCATGTGTCCAATATTCACTTGCTATCTTAATAAATCATCTGCAAATCATATTACAGAATCGTGTTTTTTCAATATCTCTTCTCACATTGGTCTATTTCCATTGTTTAAGGATCACAATAATATAAAAAAGTATGTACCAAATACACAAATCTGTGCAATCCTTTGATTGGATTTTCCTCTACTGCTGAAAATGAAGATCTAGAAATTGAACTCAAACACCTGGAAAGGTGAATATAGAATCTCCACATGTTAGTCTATAATTGACAAAAAGAAATTCTAAAAAGAAGCCAATTATTTGGTGTTTGTGGAATTTAATGTTAAAAATATGTGCCTAACACATTACACTAAGCTACCACTCAGCTCTCATTAAACTATAATCCAACTCCTAAGTCATATTCAATTCAGGGTACCAAAGTAAATAAGAGTTGAGAGTTGAATTTCAAGAACTGGACTTCTCTTTCTATATATAGACAAGTTTAGAGTAGTTTTTCATTCAAAAGAGTTAAAATAAACTCTCTCAATGGCAGCCATTTTAGTAAAGAAGAAGTGGGTTCTTGTGGTGATAGCAATGATGATTTGGCTGTTGATTTTGGGTCCTTCAAATGTGGAGTGTGCATTTGGTATTGATATTAATCCACGTACTCTTCCCGAATGTGTTGCTGCATGTAAGAAGGCTTTGCATGAGAAGTACCTTAGTGCAACCTGTGCAGTTGGACCTAAAGGAAAGTACTGTATCTGTTTAGGTTAATACATACATGTGAGTATATTGGTACAAGAATAGAAGTGTTAGGCAACAAATAAAGTCTTCCCAATACATGTTTGGTACGACATGAAACTATATTATGTCCGTTGCTATCTGATTCGTCCACCAAAGTTGCTATGGTAAGTTATTTTAGTATTAAGTAATGTGTATCTTGTGCAGTGTCACGTTGATATAATATGTGCTACTATAATAACAAGAGTTTTTAAATTGTCTTTTTTATACATCATTTGCAATTTTTTGTTCAATTTAATTTAAATGTCATCCTATAAACAATTCAGAAGTAAAAGGATGTATTACGTTCCTATAAACCCACAAAACATGATTTCGCTTGGATATATAATCATAAGTGAAAAACAACGTGCAAAGTTGTCCAATTTTTACCTAGTTAAAATCTTTTGTAGAAGAGTTCATTAAAAAAGCCATAATGGAACTAACTTCCTTAATTCAATGAAGCAATTCTAAAAAATTATTCAAAAATGCCCAAATTCAAATTCGTAATATCAAAACCAGCTTTTGAATTTTCAATAACTATGCCAAACCTACCTGTCACATAGATGCAAACAATGACAAAATAATCCTATATCCCGATTGGGGAGGGGGCAAGACAAGCACGTATACAGAGGAAGAACTGAAATCAACGAACCAGATGGGATTTATCATCTAAAAGTTACACAAGATGTTAGCACCATTATGGCCATGTTTTGTCAAATACCAATACGTAACTTAGTCGCTCCTCTTCTAGGACAGATGTTCAAGTAAAAGCTAATAACCATACTAAAATTATTGTACAGAACCAGTCTGAGATTTCACCGAGACATGACCCTTCCATCTGGATATTTTAGCATCGAATATTCTTTTTAAGACGTTTAGTCGATCAACTAAAAGAGATTCTCCCAGTTCCTCGATATGAGCATTTTCTTTTTCAATAGCCAATTCCAGTTCATCAAAATACTTCATCTTGGGTTTCAATTTCTTCATCTGTAAATGCAAAAGTGCAAACAGTGAACATCTAAATCCACTCCAATCTCAAATTTCTGGGAATAAAAATGACAAAAAGATAAATTCTCTGAAGCTCTGTTCATTAGCAAGAACTTGAATTGTCAAAAAAGCCATATTGTAAGAAATTCAAAGTGGTAATTTGGAAGCTCATGAACCATGGGGAACTCGAGTTTTGACTCTAACCAGTTGGATTATATATATATATATAAATAATATTTTTTTTAACACAAAATCACCAGAATATAGCAATGGGGCGGGGCCAGGGAGGCAATTAATTACCATCCCCATCTCAACAGGGATTTTCGGGAAGCAGGGAGATCTCCATTCGTAGCCATATTTTTAATTAATTAATTATTATTTTTAAATTTTTCAACATGATTTAAATTGAATACATAAAACTAAAATTAATAAAAACACTAGAGGGGTGAGGGCAGAGAATTTTACCATCCTTGATTAGGTTACACATAAAGAAAGTTTTAACAATTGCAACTCTCAAGAACTTGTGAAATTCAATATAAGAGGGTGTTTGAGAGCCTTTTTATGTAACAATGCATTTTGGAATAGTAAATTGATGGAAAATGTATGGTTGAAAAATAAGGAAAAATTTTTTATTTACATGTAATATTATTTTAATGAAAAATGTGTGGTTGAAAAGAAGAGAGAGAAAAATATATTTTGAAAAAAATGGGTACCAAACGAGAAGCATATGATTTTTCACTGTAATTTCCACCAAATTATTGTAAAAGATTAAAATAGACCTATCAGAATTCAAATATATAAAACCTCACCTGCATTTCGATCATGATAGCCTTTAATTGTGCCATCCTTCTCTCTTCTGGATCAGCCAAACACTTGGCATGAGCAGCAGCAGCACCAAGGACCGTTGCAGTTGCGGCCCCCATTCTTAAGTTTATTTGCATTGTATTTTTATTAGATGGTGGGTCCTGAGTTTCTGTGGACAAGTGCCCTGCTTACCGAGCCAGGCTCAGTAACAGGCTCAAAACAGCCACCTCAGCCCTCGATTTCACCATTTTCCTTTTTTTTTTTTTTTTTTTTTTTTCAAATCTAAGGTTCGAGGTGTTGCCACCTTGGCTCCCTATTTTTTAGCCTGATTTTGCACCTGGTTGAGTAGCATTTTTCCCGTGGACAAATATGGTGATCAAAAAAGGAGTAATGATGGCATTATGAGGCCTGAGATAGCTACATTGAGGAGGCACGTTTGTCTCCAAACATGTACTTATTTCGAATTTTGATCAACAAAACAATTACTTATAAGTTAATTAGCGCAAAACGACCCTACCATTCAATGTTTTTGTATATGGCGTCCATACCTTTCATTTTTTGTCAATTTCACCCTCGTCCTCACCTTTCATTGTTGAAAAGGTCCTTCTATCCACCCACCGCAAATGCTCCGTTAACTCAATAAAAATGTTAATTAACACAAAACGTCCCTACCTTTCATTTTTCAAAGGTATGGACTTTTTACACAACTTAGCTTTAAACGTAATGTTTTTCACAAAGTATATTAAAAGATAGGGCTGTTACACGTAAAACGTATTAATAGGTAGGGATGGTTATCACAAGTTAAAAATCATCCTAAAAATAACTGGTCTAGTTCGTCTTTTCCATTCATAGGTGATGAGTCATTCATCATTGAAATCTAATAGGTTATTTACAGCGTTCTATTTGCCATTATTCTTCTTATTTTACCCTTATTTACGCACTTAATAAGCACAAAATGGGAATGAATATCTCCAGTTTATTAACTACATAATCACGACTCGTCTATTCTTGCTTTTTCCCTGGATTTTCATTGAAAATCTGACATTTTTTCTCCAATGGGACCCACCCATGAGAGGGTAGGTCAAAAGTTGCAGCGGCTAACGGCCATAAAGTTCTACAAATCTGGGGAGAATCTCTCCAAGACAGGACCTCAATCTCTTCATCTATCGTTCCAAATTTTATGAGTAATCCAGTATTATACTAGTCATTGTTCTTCTTAAGTTGGAAATGAATACAGTGTTCTTTAAACCATTTCTTATTTATTTAATGGAATAATTGTATAAATTATTTTCATATTACTTTTAATTTTCAACAGTTAACTTTGAAGGCGACAAGAAGGCTTGTGAAAAAATTGGGTAAGATTATATTATCCTTGATTTTTGAAAAGAAAAATTACATTTTTTGTTGAGTCAACGGAGTATTTGACGATGGGTGGATGGAATGATATTTTTCACAATGAAAGTGAAAGTGAGTGTGAAATTGCCAAAAAAACGAAAGATAAGGACGTTTACACAAAAATATTGAAAGGTGGAGACATTTTGTGTTAATTAGTCTTTGCTAAGTTAACGGAGCATTTGACGATAGGTGGATGAAAGGACCTTTTCACAATGAAAGGTTAGAGTGAGGGTGAAATTGTCAAAAAAAAAATGTAGGGACATTTTGTACAAAAAATTGAAACGTGAAGACATTTTGTTCTAATTAACCTTACTTATATTAAAATATCATTATTTGATTATAAGTAAAATCTTCAGATTCAGCCAAATGTGAGCTAAGTTGAAGCAATGCAATATAATGGAAGTTATAGCAAACTATAGTCTATATGTCATTAACTAGCCAAATGAGCTCTAGGCTGAAGCAATGCAATATAATGGAAGTTATAGCATACTATAGTCGATATGCCATTAAAAATGAAAATAAGTACAACTGTACAAGATTGTTTTGGTCATTCATCTCCATCTAAAAGATTACCTTGAGGTGCTCTGATAGAGAAACAATTTGTTCCAACTTTAGCATTTCAATGTCAAAAACATATTCAGCAGACAAGATTCCATAAATGATTAGATGAATACCTCTTTTGCTCAATATTTTCAGCAGAAGCTTTTAGATCAACAAGAAAATCATCTTCGTTGAATATTTTGTTTGGAATCTACTTAACATGCACAGTGAAAAATTAAAACAGATTTCGATTCCCACCAGGAATCTCTTTGTGTTTAGATAGAAATTGTGAAAAAATTGTACCTTTTTCAGATATGCAAACTTTTTTACTATTCTTTTCGTTCCAACAATCTTGATTCGTCATCTACAACTGTCCAATTGTCCAGCCTCCAACGGTGATCCACACAGAGAACAGATTGCAGCTACCAGGGTTTTTTCCTATTGTGCTAGCAAGAAATTATGAGAAAACCATATGGATTGAAAACTCTAGCCATGTATTTATATAAGCTCAAACGGGCCTGGCTTGGTCTGATCCAATATTTAATTAATTCGTTTAATTAAATTCGGTCCGTGAATTAATTAATCCAATTAATTAATTCGGGCCTATAAATTACCAACCAATTAATTAATTTATCCAACGATTGTCAAATTAATTAATTAACAAATTGCAATCTTCCAATTATCTTTTGTGTGCGACTCATCAGGTTCCCGATTACAATGCCTAACGACATGAAATATTATTTTGATCTAATCAAAATTGATAAATTAAAACACCATTTTAATTTATCATCAATTCACACTCGCCGTCCCAGATTGACATCTAGCAATGTGTCAGGACAATACATGTGACGGGGAATATCATGTAGTATGACAAAATCAAACTCGTTTGTTTACTGTGAAACTATAATCTCTTCGTTAATATGATCCGATCAATTACGAGATATGGAAAGTGTGTCAATCCCGAATATCGATCATATCTTTCACTTCATTATTAAGTTAATATAAGTCGAAAACTCCTTTTCGACTTATGAGTATACTTTAGCTAAGGATTTCGCTATCGACTTAATTGAATGAAACGCAGATCATAATTTCCTACTATCGAAGTGTGACGAATCCTTTATTGATCAATTACAACTTTTATATGATACTTGACGTACCCAAACGATGTCGTATTAGCAGCCCTTTGCAAAGCAACATCCAACACCACTAAAGTATAACTATCCTCATATAAGATACCATGATGACCTCAAGTCAAAGACCAATTCCACTACCGAACGTTAAAAATTAACCACTGACACTCAGATAGTTATCCATGTAGAATCTCTCGACGGGTCTCCAATGTTTTATTTCATAACAAAACATCCATGTGTTCATTTAAGTGTCACACACTTTAATTTGTGAGATCAGCTACTTACTTCACAAGTAAGAAATGTCACACGTGATGATCTATCCGTAATAACAATATCTGTATCTTGTTATTACGTACGACCACGGAAGATTTAAAATTCAATCATATGTAATTTGTATCTCACAATCACAACTCCTTGTGATTAACAAATTACGAAGATTTGAATTTACGGACTCTATTATTTATTTAATTGTCTATTAAGTAAATAATAGATCTGCCATTAAATTGCATTAATTATATATCAAAAGTATTTATGTCCAATGTTGATTGGACCTAGGGCATAACACTTACATATTTCCCTCGAACATTGGTTTTCATAACAAAGAGCTGTAACAGCAGCCTTAGCCGTAGAAGCTGTGACATGAGGCCCAACTGCAGTAGATATGCGAGCTAACTAATAGAGTAAATGAAGTTTCCAATTATAATGCCAAAAATTTATAACATATTAAGCTTCAGATGATATCATTTTAGACAACTGAAAGTGGAATAACATATTATAGACCATTAGACAAATTTCACACTACCACTTTTCTCCCGGAAAATTTGTTAATTAAGTGAATTGTATTTGTCCATAGATATTTCGAAAAACGTTCAGTGGATTTGCAATAGTTGCAAGAGAAAAGGGACTGACAATTCACAAGCATCCCAAAGAATTTCATTTTTATTTCCAATAGTTTTTCATAAGGCTTCCAAATAAAAAACTTGCCACTGAATAATAAATTTATTGAGACATCACTCAGAAGTATATTGAAGCAGATAGACTAAAATATGCACCTGTTTCATCAAATAACTGGTATTTGAAGTTGGTTTTGTGCGTATTCTTTTTTGGAGGTTGACTTTGATTGTCAGAATATCCATTGAGCAGGTCCTCATCCTTAAGGTCGTGGCTTTGATCCTCTACTTTTACAAATTCTTGAGATTCATTAAAAATAAGCTGTGCCTAACACATCCCGTCCAAGACTCAAGACGTGACGTGCACCGATGATAAGTGCCAGCTATGCACTGGACCCATCACTAAGGCAAAAGTAACTAAACTTTAATAATAAAGTTTCATTTGACCAATCAAGATTTTTTTGAACTCCAATATACCAACATAATAATATCATTCACTCACGTAGCCAAAAACATCCATATCATTTTCATCATAAATGTCTCTCAAAAGGATAATAGAAGGCAGTTTAGATTACAATATTCTATCATGATCATTGGTACATATAAATACTAAAAAAAAATTCCTCCAATATGATGCAAATATTTCACTTGATGATTACACAATTTCAAACAAAAGAACCTACAATTGGTGATAGTAGTAGTTGCAAAACTATCAAAATAATCTCCACTACAGCTCAATCAACAGCCTCCTATAAGGAAAAGTTAAGAAAAATATGAGATAATAATCCCAATGAGTGAAGTGCTTAAAAGATAGTTGTACTGTCCTTTATATATAAAAGTGTGTGTATAATTATATACAACAAGATGAGTAAGTACATTAGACAATTAAATAATCTAAAACCATAATCTGAAATCCATAAGTTGAACTGTAAACGGGGAAATGTAAGCTGAAGACTAATAATCCACTATATAATTAAAATTCACATCAAAATATATCTCATGTAAACATCTACTAATGATTTGAAAGCTATAAATCATATATACATAAACTGTCTAATCAATACTCTATACACGGCCGTAGCCCCTCAGTGTACAAGATAGAAATTACATATTCATCCTTATACACGGATGTAGCCCCTCAGTGTATAATGGATACTTTTACCCACGATCATAGCCTCTCAGTGTATAATGGATACCTTTACCCACGACTGTAACCCCTCAGTGGATAAGAGTTAAATACATGACTCTAGTACAAGGTCGTAGCCCCTCAGTGAACTAGAGTAAGATAATCACATCAATTATTTTATGATAATTTCAAAACAATCATGCTCATTTACTAATTTTCGAAAATAAAGCATTTCATATAATTAGCATGCTTCTATAAAATAAAAAGAAAATCTTCTTTTTGAAAACATAGATTCTCCACTCACAGATATAGGTTGGACTAACGGGGTTGGTATGTTGTTCCCACGTCCAAATCCCCTCCTGAAACGATCATAAATATAAGCCATTTCAATTTCATCCATATACGGTTACAAGGGATTTCTCAATAATAACTTCTCCTTATCATCAAAATAAAATATATATCTCACAATAAGTAATAAGCTGAGACTTATATTTATATTTCATTTGGTTATTTAAACATGCGTTCACTTAATTTCAAATCACTCTACATCCTTAACTTAACGGGGGGAAGCGGCTTCTTAGGCACAGAAGAAAAAGCAAGCGATCTCTATCATCATCTCTATTCCCTTTATCAATTCTCCTACCTTTCCCGGCTGCCCTATCAAGATTGAACAAGCATTTCATGATAATAATCATCCACATTCCTTATTTAAATTCTCTTTTAACTAAATACATAAAATTTATCAAAAGCTCCTTTCTTATATTCTCCATATTCATCCAAAGTGAGAACTCATGCACAAATAAATTATTTTCAACCAATCTAACTTAATATCATACAACAATCATAAGGGAAAATAACAAGAATGCTATTTTTTCCCCAAATTTTCGGATTAACCCACATATAACAAAACCCTAATATCTAAATATCATTTCTTCCAATTCACTAGAATAACTAGCTCAAAATACTCAAATAGTTAGCTTCCTTATCATATTTTTCAAGTATAAGCTATAAATTTAAAACCCTAAACAAAAATTTACAAAAACTAAACAATAAATTCTTAACCTTACCTCTTGAAAAATTAAATAAACAAGATTGAAGCAGTTGGCACAAGTATCTTCTTTCTTCTTCATTTTTCCTTCCTTTCTTTTTCTTTTCTTCCCTTTTTCCTTGGTTTTTCCCTCTTCTATGCGTTTTCTCTCACCCAACAGATTCTAGTGTGGGTGTGTGTGTGATTTGAGAGAAAAATATGGTCAAAGGTTGAATATAAAGGCCCACTTGTTCAAAATCGCAAAGGAAGGTCCCTCTTCTTTAATAGAATATAACATTTAAATCCTAAACTTCCAAAAATATATATAAGTAAATTTTCGACTTTAAATTGTAGCCAATTTAACCCTCATATATGGCCAATTATAAAATAAACCCCGATAAAATATTTAATTTCATTTTAGTCCTTAGTTGACTTTGACTTTGACTAGTTAACATTTGAATTTTGGCTAGAAAATTTTGGGTTGTCACAGTGCCTCTTTCAAATTACTTGCATCATCAGTTACATCCAAAAATTTAAGCTTTATGTGGGCTAACCCAAACATGAGATCTTCCAAAAGAAGCTCCATTAGCTTTGATGTACAATCTAGTTTATTTTTCGTCTGAACATCCTGAGCAACAAGATCCCGGTCATCTCCCTGCTTCAAAACAGATTCTAAAGGAAGTAAAAAATTTTGCTTCTGTCCAGACGCTGCTTTGAATTCCACTGTTTATTAACATGAAATCATCTGTTGATTTCTTCTTCTCATAGTTACCATTTTTGAATTTCACAAAGAATAAAGCTCACTTCCCGATATATGACAAGAAAAACGAAATAAACTTAATTAATTTCAAGAAAATTAATGTGTAGAATTGTGTGGATGCCCTGAAAATAAGAAATAGCTATTTATTCTTCTACTCTGGAGTATCTTTAGAAGGATTAAGTCAAATATACTCTAGTGCCAAATGGCATAATGAAGGCTCCAAATCTACACAAAACTGTCAATTACATAATGAAATCAGTTGATAGTTGTAGGAAAGAAGACATCGCATGCCAGAGTCAGAGGTCTATACCTTTTTTTCTTTACGGGGAGTGAGCACACATAGAAACAAAATATAAAACAATTTTACTAAGCTAATTGTTCTTTACATAAACACTCTTCATGTGAAGAAATCATCACCAACTTTAAATATCTAGAATTTGCTAGACTATGCATGTAGAATATTCTATGGACTCATTACTTGCTGGAAATAAAGACCACTACCATTCATGAAAAATCTAGAGAATAGAATTGTGAAGACAATGGTAGAATTCTTTAGAAAAATATAGGTAGTAAACTCCACCTCCATATTTTGCCTATATATATGTGTGTTGGTTGAATGCATGTGTGTGTATGATGAGAGAAAGTATAGAAAAAGAGTGTAAAGAGAAAGAGAGTGAAAAAAGAGTGTAGTAAGTGAAAGAAAGAAAATATTGTGTGTGGTCCATTTCTAAATAATATAAGTGAGGATAGTGATCTCAGTGTGTATCAAAAATTGTGTAAAATTTTATCTTATCAATAAAAATTACTTTTTTTTGGTGTTTAAACTCTACAAATTGGTATCAGAGCGAGGCGATCGGGGAAGAATTTTTGAGCTTCTAGAGATTGTGCACAAAAAGAGTTTGTGAAGCTTTATAAAGCTTGCTTGATTATGAGGAGGTAAATCAAGTTACGATGGACGACCTACAAGTGTTAGATGGAATGAGGAAGCTCGATAATCAGAATTATACCACGTGGCAAACTTGCATGAAGTCATATCTCCAAGGACAAGATATGTGGGAAGTAGTTGGCAGAAGTAATGTGATGCCACCAGAGGAGGACGGAACTCTGAAGAAATGGAGAATCAAAGCGGGTAAGGCTTTGTTCATTTTAAAGACAACAGTTGAGAAAGAATTGCTGGAACACATAAGAGATAAGAACACACCAAAATAAGCATGGGATACGTTGGCCTCACTATTTTTGAAGAAAAATGATATGTGGTTGCAATTGTTGGAGAACGAGCTGCTCTCAATTACTCAAGGAGAATTAACCGTAAGTCAATACTTTAATAAAGTTAAATCTCTCTGTTGTGAAATTTCAGAGTTGAATGTTTCAAGTAAAATTTCAAAGTCTCGAATGAGAAGAACGATTATACATGGATTGAAACCCGAATTTAGAAGTTTTATCGCTGCAATACAAGGTTGGCCTGAGCAACCTTCATTAGTTAATCTAGAAAATTTGTTGGCCTACCAAGTAGCATTAACCAGACAAATGTTAGTGGTCTCAATAAAGAAAGAAGATGAAGAAGCATTGTTTAGCTACAAAAGAAAAGGCCAATTTTGTCAGCAAAATTATAAAGAATTAAAAAAAGGTAAATTTGAATGACGAATTGAAAGAAGCTACCAGACAAGGGGAGCTCAACAAAGTTGTAATAAGAGAGATCAGTCATTCAAGAGATTCGAACGAAATAATAGCTCGTGTTTCGTATGTGGCAAACAAGGCCATTATGCTGGAGATTGTTGGTTTAAAAAGGGGCCAGCAGAAGGCAATATAGCAACCTTCAACGAGCAAGAGAAGTATAATAGTGAAGAAGAATGGGATACGGAGGCAACCACAACAACAATTGAGAAGGCTCAAGAAAAGAAATTTAATCCAAGTTTAAAGGATGAATCAACGTTAGTAGTGGTCCTGCCTGAACAGTTAGATTGTGAAGATAATTGAATTGATGACTTGGAAGAAGATTATTGGATCAATGACTTAGAAGAGGACATTGCGTTTCACAAAGAGTCTTCAGGGTGGACTTCGCAGAGGGAGGAACTATTAGAATTAGAATAAGTATTTGAAGAAATGCAGACACCGAAGAGGGTGAATATGCTAGAGCAGATACCGCAAATGATAGATCTGCTGGATCAAACACCACAGAGGGTGGAGCTGCTAGATTTGAAGAAAACAAAAGACAAATTGTTAGAGAAAATTGTGGAAGCACAACGAAGTCCCGAGGAATCCGAAGATCTAAAGATATCAAGTGATAAAGAAGAGTTGATTAGTGTGATACATAGTTATTCACAAAATGGTGTTAATTGGGAAATACAAGTGAATGATCAACAACTACAAGAAGAAATTGAGAAAAGCCTAGAAGAGCAAAATATATTTGAAGCAACAAATGCATTAAGTGAAGAAACGAGCACTTCAAAATTCGTCAAGGCAAAGTTAGACGAGAAGAAGAAGAAAAAGGTTAAAATGAAAAGTTGGTGCTGAAGGGGAGAATTAAAGAAATCATCACCAACTTTAAATATCTAGAATTTACTAGACTAAGCATGTAGAATATTCTAGAGACTCATTACTTGTAGGAAATAAAGACCACTACCATTCATGAAAAATCTAGAGAATAGAATTGTGAAGACAATGGTAGAATTCTCTATAAAAATGTAGGTAGTAAACTCTACCTCCATATTTTGCCTACATATATGTGTGTGTTGGTTGAATGTATGTGTGTGTATGATGAGAGAAAGTATAGAAAAAGAGTGTAGAGAGAAAGAGACTGAAAAAAGAGTGTAGTAAGTGAAAGAGAGAATATATTGTGAGTGGTCCATTTCTAAATATTATAAGTGGGGATAGTGATCTCAGTGTGTATCAAAAATTGTGTAAAATTTTATCTTATCAATAAAAATTACTTTCTTTTGGTGTTTAAACTCTACATCATGCACTAAAGAAACACTATCTAGAATTGTCAAGGTTTTCCTTCAAAACAGAGTACAAGGGAGTAAGATTTGCCAACTTCCATATCCAAACTTGAATTAAATTACTATGGAGGGCTGTTAAAATTTAAAAAAAGAGTTTTTATACATTACACCTGGCTGCTAAACACCATGTTACTTAATTCCATCTTTTGACCATAATTAACACTAAAACCAAGTCTTCACTTGCTTAAACCGTTTTAGGGGACCGTGATATTAAAATGTATTAAGACATATTATATGCCATGTGTTCCTCAAATGGGATTGCCAAGTTATGCTCCCATTCTCGGCATACAAATGCATAATGAATTCACTTTTCCTGCTAGCAGGATGAAAGCTCTACCCTGTCATTTTATTACCGGTGGCCTCACTTATTCCCTGCAATTAATATGGCAGCTTTTCTGTTTTGGAAACTTAAATCCAAAACCATTTTTTATAAATACCATTCTCAAAAATCTTTGACAGACATTAACACTCAACAGTGATTATTTTTATAAAAACCTAAAGTTTGTAACTAATTTACAGAAATGTGCAATGCTAGAATGAGCTCTCTCAATACATACTTCTAAAATATTGGTTTCTACTTTGTAGGCCATGTTTGACCTACATTATTTCAGAAAAATACATTTTTAAATAGTGATTTGACATTATTTCAACCACACATTTTTCAATAAAATAATATTACACGTAAATCCAAAAAAAATTTCTTATTTTTTAACCACACATTTCCAATCAATACACTATTCAAAAATGCATTTTTATGAAAATAATGTAGCTCAAACAAAGGCCTAATGTCTAACAGTGAACATGAATGTGTCGTCACTTAGGGTCTTAGGATTGTTTGTTAGATGACATGAGCAAATACACCCTTGCAGATAAGTGATTAGAAGTGTAATGCCATTATTTAGTGAACTACCACCTTATACACTGCTTTATCAAAACTATGGGTAAGAGTTCATCGCATAAGTATGGAGCAGACAAGTTCATCTCAAGCGCAATTCTCCAAATGAATATATCCTTCGATAAGAATATTTTCTATTTATTTCTTCCAACATGACTTTTTCTCTCTGCACTCGGGATGTCATATTTCCCCACTAATAATCGTTATCTAGCAATTCTTAAACAGACGATGGAAATTGATATGGAACTTCCAGTTTAAGATATAATCGATTTTAAGTTAGTATAATGGTGCGGTTTTACCAAATGCATTTTTAAACTTAATGAGTTATATTCTTTTATAGTGCTCATACAGATACTTCTCATCATACAAATAAGAACTGGTGATTCATGTCAATCAATCTAGCTAAATAAATTCATGTTTTGACTTCAGCACTAAAATATGAAAAGCAGGAATGATAAACATACTACGTTCACAGTGAAATGGATTATAATTTATCTTTGTGTACTCGTAGTCAGGGACGGACGTGGGGGGGG